AATTGTTGTAGTAAAATATAAACAAGTTGGACATTAATTATATCTAGTTTAAATTCTGACTTCCCTGAGTTTTACATTGCATGGTTTCACGTCCTGCCCTGTTTTAGAAACTACTGAGACTACTGAAATTTAGTCTGATATATCATAAATTATTTAACTTACTTGTAGAAACTCCATTCTGTATTTGATTAGTTAAGTAAGCATTCCAACAGAGATCACAAAAGCCATGTCCACATGACAATGTGGTTACGTTGGATTTGGAGCATCGCTGGAAACATACTGGGCAAACAAATGCTCTTGTAACCTGGTTAGAATAATAATATCATGTTTAGACTACAGTGATATATATATGTTGTATAGAAAGTCCTCAAAAATATTATTTAAGCAAAATTGTATTGCATTTACTAAATTATTTTTTGGTTAGCATTTTAAAAAGACAAAAGTCAGTGAGATACATTGTAGTTTATTACAAGGAGATGCAGAAAGCGAAAGGGAGAAAGTCGGTTGGCATGGAAAAAGGATTAATTAATTAATATTTGAATTACAAATTGCTGATTGWTATCACTATTATCTTGTTACAACGTATTTTTATATCATGCAAGGGAAAAACTCAGCACTTCTGTTATGCAAGAAGAACAAATTCACAATAGATTTTATCCATTGTTGAATGAAAATATTAATACTCACCATTGACCTCGGCTGCTTTTTAGGTACAAGATGTAAATCCACCATCAGTCCAGCAGGATCAACTCTGTGCCTACATTTGTAATATTAGATTAATTACTATCATGTAATTAAACAGCATTGCTTACATGTATCTCTAACTATGTATATAACAGACAAAAGAAACACTTTTAATTCCTTTTTGCACATGTTTTTATGTGTTGCAAAATATATATCAGATTCAAGCTACATGTATGCAACTTTGGCACCAAAAAAATACTTATTTAATACAATCAGTTAAAAAAATGGAAAATTGTAACATTTCTTATGTAGAGAGATCCACTTATGATATCTTAATAATTAATAATTGGACATTATATTAACATATTGAAAGGAATAATCCATTTTTGCAGGTTTAAATTTCTTGTTGCGGATTCTATGATTTTCATAGCATTTGTCTAAAAAAGAAGGGACAGTATTTTARGATTACCTCTCTAGAAGTTTRCCAACGTCCCAAGAGTAGGCAACCAACAGTAAACGTGCTAAATGATGAGGTATCTGAAAACATAACATAGTACCAGTCAAAAATACAATAATTTACCATAACACTCTTGGTTTGAAAACCTTTTTAAGGAACAAAGCAGTCATTTTAGGCTGTTATTGTTCGCTCATTAAATAACCTGCATATCYTTGCTAGCTTTTGCCACCATCGAGCCCAATAACTCCATCGTTTCGTCGACAGATAACAAGGAATAATCAAAATTCTCAGGGTCTTCCTCYTGATTTGGATCAATTCCCTCGTCTTCTCCGTCATTTCTCGTGTAGTAATCATCCTCATCATCATCATCGTCGTCACCATAATCACTAGAATCGGCGTCCATGGCTTCTTCGATGTCTTCCTGCTCAAACGACATCGTTTCTGTACAGTTAAGACGCCTCTAAAAGTTCAATTTTCTCGTGTAAATGTAGGACTATCGTAGAATTGCCATCTTTGTCTTGTGTTGTGATCTTCATGAAAACAGAGAGGGAAATGTGWACGAGTGAGGTCATGGTCCTAATATGGAGACCTTTACCTTATATAGTAATGTAGCCTGTAAAACTATTTTTAGATATTGTTGCGTGTTTTATATATATATCTTTTAGCAATTCGAAAGAATTTAAAACATTTTTTTCACAAAATATAAAGATAAGTTTAAGAAATTTATAATAAAAATCATTCTTTTATGCAGAGTCGTTCTGATAAATCACTGTTACATATATCCAAATTTGGAACTGCGCGCGAGGGCCTAGAACCAAGACTTCCGCCATGTTTCTCTGGCACCGCCATTTTTGAAATCTTTTAAAGATGTTTCCTTGATTTTTTAGCACTTCTACASTTATTTCAACACAAATTGGTCATCAAAATGACAATCATAATTTTCAATTTTTTAAATAAGTCGTTTGTCTGAGAAAAGAAGTGCTTTTATAAGCAAAAATGAGCTGTTTTGGCGGAAAGTTGAACGAATATCCATCCATTTCCGTGGATTGCTTTACCAAAGAGAACCTGGAATCCTTGGCTTTCTTTTTATCACATTGTCATAAAGGTATTTTTCTAAAATATTGCAAACAATTTCTTATATTTTTGTATCTATTAAGAAATACACCTACACAAAAACCTCATCTTCCTGCGTTCTTCTGTGTGAACATGTACGTACGAATTGAGGAATTACTGTACTTAAATTCTGCTCTATTTTGTTGAGCCTTCATTCAATATAAATGAATGAGAACTAGCCTTAAGCCCTCTCTATTCAAGCCCCCTTTAGGGCATCCCTCCCTYCCCCTTCCCACTGTCCATCCCCCAATCCCATYCTYATTCCTAGTACTTGTAGCATTCATAGCATTCATGCTGCTCCAACTGTTTTTTCTTATGCTCTAGATCACATGGATGGACTTGACTCTACGGCCTTTTCAAATGTGTTGAAATCCAGGTTTGTCTTAATAACTTTCAAACTGAGTGAGCTGTTAGTAGAAGCTACGGTATTCTGAATAATCCATGATTACCTTTGATTACTTTTACTATTTATAGCTCTGATAAAGTGATCTACTGTTCTGACACCACACGTAATCTGCTGCTTTGTAATCAAACTTATTCTCATCTTGAAGATTACCTGGTAAGTCAAACAGGATGAATTTTTGGATATCAACTTTCACAACATGGTCTAGGCCAGGCTCATACATTGTATGCTATACATGTATCCTCAAACCTTTGCTTCATTAAATTACATAATTATAACCTGAACCATGGTACAGTTTTCACTAAAATATAGTAAGAGCAATTGCAGGAAAACCATGAAATAAATTCAAACTAAATACTAACAAATAGCAGCTATTTAGAGATAATTTGTCAGTATCAATTGAACCAGAATGCAATCAAGATGAATTAAAAGTGGTCCCATGAGGGTTCATCTTCATTGTGTTCTGATTCATTGAAACTGACAAATTGTCTTGTTAGAAATAGCCGCTATTCGTTAGTATTTAGGTTGATTTAATTTCATGGTTTCCCTGTGTTTGCTCTATTATTTGATTTATTGGCTATTATTCATCTATAGGTAGGAATTCCAATTGATCATCCATATTTGGTGACTCTTTATGATACAGAAACAAATAAAGTAAGATATCACTATATATTATCATAAACAATAAAAGTTGTCTTACAAATGATAAACCTTCTTCCTAGCACTATAACTTTCCTTCATTTCTATATCATGTATCTCATAGATATAGTGCCATGCTGTCCTTACATTCATATCTTTACAAATGTAAGCATTAAGTGTAGCTTGGCCAAAATGTCTCGAACTTATTTATATAAAACTAAGAAATCTTCATTGACCTTGATTGTTTACAGAGAGARGTTATTACAGTGACTCTACTCTCTGCTGGACACTGTGTAGGGTCTGTGATGTAAGTACAATGCATTRTCTAATCAGACTTCAGGGCTTGAAATAACAACCAGACTAGCCTCCTTYGCAGGCTACACCATCRGAAACGGACATTTTTCTCTTCTTGGTCTTCCTGTGTTCATATTCTTGACCGAGAAGAACTGGTGTCSAGAGATTCCTTCCTAACCCCTCCCCYTCCASCAGCTTTTTTGCCTTAACACAGGAATCCCACAGAGTAGAGTTGCCTGCCAAGGAGGCTACAACCAGACATACATGTATACACTGACAAGATGTCCTTCCAAATTCATTTTTGGAAGGTAGATAGATAGATAGATAGATGCCTTTATTTAGAATTAATACATTATAACTCAGGGTAGTCCCGTCAGAAGCCCAAGGGCTGCCTGCTATCAATGGGAGACCTGAGTATAAACTAAAATAATAATTACATACGTATACGCACGAATGTAAATAAAAYGATTATATAGAAATTACAAAATATAAATTGATAAAAGACAATAATTAAATATTTATAATATCAATTTAAAACTACAGTAAAATCTATATTTGAATCCATAGTATAAAAATATATAAAAATAATCACTTTGAAGGTCATGTCGAAGTTTGAAAGGACAAAAACTTTATTATACTATAATTGTTTTCTTTTAGTTTATAGTTTTTTCAGAAAAATTGGTAAGAATTTTGATGGCTTGTACAATGTAAAAKATTTATTTAGCGAATTGGGAATTGATTGTTTTTTTATTTGTCTAAAAATGTGGCAGGTCAATTTGTCCATTCAAAACCCGATTTCGATGGTCATCTAGCCGTTATTTTGAGCCCTGAGACTTGTATGATCCACTAGATACTCTCTTTTTCCCACTATGCTCATCTCACTATGCTTGGGGCTGGTCAGCACCGATCCAAATGGGTCTAATGATAGGTTGAGAAAACAATGGACAAACAATATATAAGTCTTCTAACAATAAAACAAAATCTAACCAAACAATAGAGCTGCAGTACTTATGCAGAAATTAAAAAGCAGGTCTCAATCGGTGCTATATTACTGTTCTTGAGTGCTACCCAAAAATTGAGAGAAGCCAATGGGCACAAGTCTTATTGATGTTCTTGTAAATTAAATTAATTGTTTTATCAAATTGTTAAATATTAGTCTACATCTAATAGTACAAGATGAAAAGTGTGCTCTTATTGTCTTCAATATCTTTAGTTGTCAATCAAAATCCTAAACCTAATTCATGATCTTTCAAAAGGTTCTTATTTGAAGGGAGCAATGGAAATGTTTTATACACTGGTTAGTATGGCTTTGTGCAGTCGSTAGACATTTTCTAACATAAGTATCCAGGCAGGTACTTGTTGGAGGGATTATGAGGGGAGGGAGGGGAGACTAGGGAAGGAAAGAAGGAGAAGGGTGGGGTTTCCTCTTTGATCATACATTGATTCAATAATTTTTACAGGAGACTTTAGACTGGCCAAAGGTGATGCCCAACGAATTAGTCTCCTTCATAATAATGGACGGTGAGCTATTACAATGTTGTATGAATTATACTGATATAAAATGATATTTCACTTAGGTTGTAAATCATCATTTTTCAATGCTTAAAACAATTCTCTTTTTTTTCATTGTACAGTGTAAAAGATGTAAAAAGTATTTATATTGATACAACATTTTGTCTTCCTAAAATGATGACAATACCAAGTAGGGTAGGTGTTGGAATAGACAATTCAAAGTATGATGATGAATGATGATGATGAATGATGATGATGATGATGATGATGATGATGATGATGAGCACTCTTTCAGCCAATATTCCAGTTTCAAATTCTGTTTTGCATACAAGCTTAGCTTCAATCAAGATCAAGCATACATTTTTATTGTCTTCTTTGTAAATCATACACCTATATGACATCACATCATATGGCGCTTCACTTGCGATATTTGACATATTGTATTTGTGTACTTCCAGAAAGCAACAAGAGATGCAATCATTCAAATAATAGACAGGTATGTGTCATTTTATTTTTTTCATGTCTGTTCCTTTAAACAGCAATTTTTATCGTATTGTTACCCAAATCANGATGAAAATAATACATTCTAATAGTAACTCCACGCTTTAAAAGAGAGCTAAGAAATACGCAGCCTAATCATCAATGTAAAACATTCTGATTTTTTTTTCTATTATAAGCTAACAGAATAATTACAGTCAGGATCTCAATTATCATTGTCATGATCATGACACTTATGCATAAAGACTATAAAATAACTTTGAATCGATGAAAACAATTTCTAAACACTATTTGGTTAATGATATTATATACAGATTTATATTAGACTGATTCCATAAGTCSGTACCAGTTCCCTCTCTGTCGATTTTTATTTCTCTCAGCGATTTATGGAATCAGTCTTGATTTAYATTATAAGGAGAATSGATATGGAAATACTTTACCCGGCAGGAACGCCTCTCCGATAATGCGGGTGTATAAAGACTGATCATTTTCGCGCGATTATCATTTGACTTATTCCTTTTGTCGGATTGTTTGCTTGTTCTTCCTGAAAAAAAAAAACAAAAAAAAACTACGGAACGAAATCTGCCACTTAGAATTAGTTTAGATAATCCTGACCTGTTTTCGCTCGTAATATATGGTATAGACGGATTCTCATAAGCCTACAGAATATTCATTTGTCCAGTAGCTGGAATTTTTACATGGGCACTTATCTAACAAAGATGCAAGGACGTTAATGTATGGCTTTTTTCGTTTAACTTTTATATGTGTCCAGTCCTTTCCAGTTTCTTGGTAGC